GTCCGAAGATCCATCTCCATCCCTATCTGCCAAGATATGCATGGGAGTATACACCCCATGTAATATATATATATATATATATATATATATATTGGGTTATGCTTCTTACATGACATAAACTAAATCTCAAGACTAGTGGCATGTTTTCGGAATATTACTAATACAATGGAATATATATATATATATTGGATGAAAAGTCTCAGCTTCGAACTTTATATTGTCCATATTACACGAATTTCTGATTATGCGGCTGACTTTTGTAAACTCATTTTCGGATAAATCTAATATACAAAAACCATTAACAAAAAAAAAATCTAACAACAAATTTTAAAAATCACAAAAACTTCTTAAAGTTTGTAATTTTTAGCAACTTATCGGTATCCATTTTTATTTTTTTAAAATTTATAATACACTATCTTAAATAACATTTTTATTTTTTTTAAAATTTATATATTAAAAAAATAAATAAAAATATATTAGTAACAACAGAAATCAGATCAAAATTTACCCTTTTTTGTATGAATTGGGTCGTGACCCATGAATTGATCTGTTTTCGGCTCAAATCGTGATGACCCAGCCCATGATTACATTTTTTAAAATGAATAAAAAAAATGTAAATTTACACTTGTGGGCTGGCAAGCTGTTTTAGATCTCTGGTACTTGTTTATCTAAATGTGGGAGACTGAAAACGTGGGAAATCATTAGCTTTGCCAAATATGGAATTTTCATAATATATAAAATCCTATCCATATTTGGTTTTTCCATATAAAATTCTATGAAACGTTTTCTTGTAAAATATACGACAGATACGATTATTTTAAGATATATGTTATTTAAATTGTAGCATTTGCTATTTGGTAGAATAAAAGACAGCATTGACTCTTCTTTCTTTTTCATATAATATTAGTTGTTCGATGACGAAGTATCTGAAATATATATTACGATGATCCAATGAAAATGATGCAAGAAATAGAGTAGAAACCAAATGGTAAATTGTGACTTGGAAGAGATTCTGACAGAATCTAGACTCCACATTGGTTATGGATCCGATTTTTGTCATATATATATATATATATATATATGATTATTGTCGGTCCAATATGCAGCGGTACGTGCATGGTATTGATCCATTACATACGGGTTACGTTGATTCTTATCCGTACATTATATAATCTATTCTTATAATTAACCTTCAAGAATTAGTGAGTGTAGGTATAGATATTTTCGGTTCTATTCAAATTTTATTCAATTAATTTTTATCTTAAGATATTTACTTTTTTTAAAAAAATACTTACATTTAATTTTTTTTGTTATTTCTTAATTGTGGATACATATTCAAATTCAATGGATTTAGTTATAAAAGAGATTGTATCGTATCGGATTTTATATGAGTTGCAATATTTGATTCCATTTTACACAACCACCAAATACTTGAAGGAAAGAAATCCCTTTCGAGGTTTGAGTTTACGGCCACGTCCGATTTTTGTCAAAAACAGCCTGAGACTCTCGGGGCCTCTTGGAACCACGTTCTTCCCCTCCAGCCAATAATAGACCGCCACGTGTCTAATAACACGTCTCCCTCACCAATCAGGAAAAGGCGGTGACGACCTTCCTAACACAGCTTCTCCCTTTATAAGGTCGGTGGGGTTCATGAGAAACGAACTACAAGGATCTTGTTCGTTCGCGTTCGTCAATTTGATTTCCTTCGGTTCGATCGATTCCGGCTTAAACGTTTCTTCTCCGGCGTAATCATGGTACGATATCGAGATCTCGTCTTTGTTTTTTTTTTCTCCGTCGTCTTGTTTAGATTTGGCTGATTTGGTCATTGAGCTCGTCTTTTGAATCGAAATACATATGTTCGCGTCTTCAATTCAGCTTCTTATCTCCGATCTGTTCTTGTATATGACGAATTCTCTTGCGAATTTTTTCCTTTACATGAAATCTCGGCGGCGCATTCCTTGTTTGAAATCTAAATAATTTTGAATGCTTGTAAAATTTAGATGCCTTTTTTCCCTTCTCTGGAATTGAAGGGATTTGATCTCGCGATGTGTAGTAAAGAAGATGAATGAAACAAACATAGCCATAAGTTCTGTTTCCAATTTTTACTTTCGGTAAGCTGATATCTGATTTCGTGAAGCTAATGTTGCTTCTCTAATACCAGAGTTTTGTGCATAGATTTGACTGGTTTTGTCGCTGGATGATGATGTCCGATGTAATTTATTTGCAGATGGGGTGTTTCTAATTTTGTTAAGATAGATTTCGATGTTCCGAAACGAATTTGATCCTTCACAAACTACGACAGATGCATTGGTGAAACTGGAATTGTGGAGTATAATCGTAACTGGTTGGATTTGGTTTTTGTAGACGACATCACGACGCCTCGCGGACAGGAAGGTGGAGAAGTTCGAGAAGAACATTACAAAGAGAGGAGCTGTGCCTGAAACGACGACAAAGAAGGGAAATGATTACCCAGTTGGTCCTATCCTCCTCGGGTTCTTCGTGTTCGTCGTCATTGGATCATGTAAGTACAACTTCTCTAACCTAAATCTTCCGAGTCCATTGTCGGGGTTCTATTAAGTTTGCGCTGTCTGTCTCACATGAACAAAAAACGTTGACCTAATACAGTTCCTGCATCAGCCCTTTGTTCATCGATATCAGAATTGTGGGTTTGATATGTTGATCCCCAAAACCTAGTTTGGTTCCATTGTTATTTTCTTTGTTCTCTGCATATTCCTTCAGATCGTAGTTCCTTGATGCAGCATTGTGTATAAACGCAAGATTTGTTTTGTTTTTGTGAGGCTGATTTCTGGGTTTTTATGGTGTCTTCTGTTACAGCTCTCTTCCAGATCATCAGGACAGCTACTAGCGGAGGAATGGCTTAAATCGCTCCTGCGATCTCAAAACTGTTTTGAGGAGAGAGAAGTTTATCAGAATCTGTTCAATCTGATATCATGTCTTCCAACATACTGTAGAACGGGACAAAGTTCTGTTGAACTGTTTTTTCAGTCTCTTGTAGCCAACATTTTTTTAACCGACTTTGAATATGTTATGTTACCATCCATCCATCTTTAGCCCCTGGCATTTTAGGATATAAAAGTTTACATCGCATTTTCTGAAAAATTTATGGGTATTACGGTATCCATAATTAAAATGGGCTCGCATGTAAAATTAGAATTTTATTCCATTTATTCTTGTTCTTATAATGCGCCGTGTTCCTCTCCCCTTCAATGGATGATATATGGTTGGGGGGCCGGTTGATCTCGTAGGGATTTAAAACCCTAGCTGGGGGGGGGGACCATGATTGGGATAGAAGACAATGATCAGTTAGAAACCTAACTGCGTCTAAACAATGGATGATGATGACGACGACGACGACAGGTATCTGAGCGAGCGCACTTGGCAAATGGGGATGGGTATGATGTTTGGTGTAGAAGAAATATCCGTGAATTACTGCTACTCGGGAGTAGTAAATGAAACACAACAACGCTTGAACCGTGTTCCCTTCTGTCAACCACGTGGCGCGATACATCATCACCCCACCCCAAAATGGTCACATGCACCTATTCATGTGATACGTGTGACTTCCACATACTTGTGATGCGAAAACGCCATAGACATACATGATACACCCGTTCGCAAACTGAAACACAACCTTTTTATAACTTGTCTATCCCCTGCGAACGACAGAATCTGAGTTCTAACCCCTAAAACTTATTTTTTTTTTGTTAAATCAGATCCAGACCTGGAGCATCTAGAGGAGGATTAACACATACATGAGCAATATTTTGGGGGTCAATAGAACAACCCCACATAAAAAAAGAAAGAAAGAAAGAAAGACTTAAAAGAGAAAGTAGAGAGTGACTTCGACGACCGCTGCAACATGGACGACGACCCAGACGACGATGACAACAACTGAACTGACGACATTAGGACACCCAACGCTGGCTGACAACCTGTGACCTTCTCAACCCTCAACGACAAAACTGTCTACCGACTCACTGGAAAATATTACACAAATTTGGAAAACAAAAAAAAACAAGTTCAGAGATATTGCACCTTTCTCTATCCCCATAAAATAAAATTATGTTAGTTCAGATTCTTCTTCTTCTTCATTTTTTCCTTTAAGTTTTAGGAGAAGGAAGATGGACGAAAAATATGCCAGGGAAGTCATTTGCTTCAAAAGAAATTCTAATCAACATGTCTCCGCTGCTTACGAAAAGCATGAAATGTACAAAACTTGAATGTATGAATTTTGGAGGCAACCATTTTGAAAAACAGATGTCAACACATAAATGCATGATTCGACAAACCTGATCATTGTCTTCTGGATCCGTGGATGGAGATCTGTCGCCCTCCACCGGTCTATCGGCTCCACAGTTCAGCCTGTTGCACTTGGCCCTGAATGGATAGTTTATATTTCCACACTCATCACACTTCCAGCTACCTTCAGGCGCCTTTTGTTCTGAAATTGATAAGACATGTCAGTATCAGGGCCAAACAAGTAAGCAGCCGTTTTTAATTACATATCCCGAGGGACTTACTGGAACTCTTTTCTGAGCTCCCAACCTGAATTTGTAAGATCTTAATGTTAGTATTTGAGAATTTGGAATAGAACTCTGAAGAGAAAACTCCAGCTTGAAATTGTAAAAAAGCAAACCTGGGATCCAGGCTTTGGGGTATTGCATTTCCTCATGTTGCATACAGTTCTGAATGAGAAGTTCACGTTACCACATTCTGGGCATGCCCAATCATTATCACGAGTTGAATCTGCAATAAATTCACAGAATATGTCAAGTAGGTGGGCCATTGTCATACATTGAAATGCCATCTCAATTTCGTAGCTAAAGGGTTCTCGAGGAGGGAAAGACAACTGGTGCATACCTCTTTTCTGAGTACTCTCGTCTGGATAGAACCCAGGTCTCGGCATCTGCTAAAAGAAACAGACAAATTACTAAGAAAAAAAAATCAAACCTCTAACATATACTTTGCTCAATCTTGCATGTGATCAGACTCAAGTATCTGGAGAGTAGATATTATACACACCATAGCAGCTGCAGGAACCATGGGCATGCCAAGGCCATACCTGTCTATTGGAAGAGGCATGCCATACATACCTGAACAAAAGCCAAGATGCACCAATAGAATCAGTTCATATAAACATCAACCGATAGGTCAAGGAAATTTGAGCCATCCGATTCTGTTAAACTATTGGCATAGACCACTACATAAAATTAGTACAAAAATAATACCATTTCCCATCATAGATCCACCAGAGTACGGTGGAGGCCCAGGCATATGAAGTGGTCCATAAGGAGCACCAACAGAGATTCGGCTGCTATAATTGAAATGATAAGGTGAACCCCCAGAGAATGGAATGTCGAAAGGAGGAACAGAAGATCTGTGAAAGAGGGAAGACCCATATGGCGAGGCACCCATGTACACTGAAGGGGGTCCCCCAGAACCTACATATGGTCCTGATGGTGAGTAATTTTGTGGAGGTTGCATAGGCTTGGGCACAAACTTCTGTTACAACATAAAGCATATAGGTGATCAACAACCCGGACAATTAAATAAACAAAAAAAAGATCAAGTACAGATATTATTAAAATAGGATCATAAATCCATGCAAGTGTTCTCCAGAATCAATGGTATATGGCATGTGTTCTAAACAACTCATAGATATGTGAAACTGAGTGAGAGCCCCAACAGGGTTAGTATCATAAAGTTCGTGTTATTTAATGTCGCATGAAAGACAGATGTCCTACATCCATAGTTTGCAATTCCAGGATTTTCCTCGCAACAATAACAAGCCACAGTTCAGATGACTTACTCCATTATGATCTGCAGGCCTCGGTTGAGTACAATTACGCATATTGCAAGTTGTCCTGAATGAAAAATTGACATTGCCACAACTGGGGCAGGTCCAATCATCTTCTCTGCGACCGCCTATCCTCAACCAAAAAGTGAATCAAACAAGTTATATAATGATTCTAGTAAGAGGAACGGGCACTATTAGAACTTGAAGTGAGAAAAATATAACACTGACCATGTACTCGTGGATCGAAAGGAAATTCGATTTCACACTCAAAATACAACGTAGAAAAGCAAAAGAATGAAGTCCAAAGATATAGAAGGGGAAAATCTCCCGAATAAACATGTAACTCTAAGGTTGATTGCTTGACAGAAATACTATACCCGGTAGTTCGAAATACTAAAGGGATGTAAGGGATCCTAAATACAGAGTCCAATACACTCTATATATACAGTGATTTTTTTTTAACAGGAGGAAAACAAGGGAAACCAAATCAATGTATTGTATCCATAAACTCATGGTCCAGGAGTGTTTTTGTCAATGTAAGCAAAAATTGAGTTCCTTTCCAAGTAAAACTTGAGAAAGATTGTCACATACAACCACATGCCAGGAGATGAACACTGAATTATACGCGATAAGCTCTTCAGCACATGAATCGGTAGAAATAACACAAACAGAGCTTACCGTCAGTTCTAGCACGCTTCGTGGCTGATGAATTTCTGTTGTCAACCTACACATTCAGAGAAAGAAAGAGACAAAAAAAGAAAACAGATCAAAACACATACAAACAAAACAGAGACGAAGAAGGATCTCCGAAATCGATTCAGACAGAACAACTACAGTCACTTGACAATCCTTTTAGCTACCCTAATTAAAGAACTGAAGGCGATAACATACTGATTTTCTCCAAAATTCAATGAGATACGAGAAGTTCCGTATCCAGTCAAGATCAGATCAGCGACACTGAACGCCGGAACTAGAAATCGGTACCAATCAAGGGAGCTATATACCTGAGACATGCCGGCGGAACGAACGAAAACAGATGTTACGCGGCGGAGATTTGAAGGCGACTTGCCCTACGCTTCAACTACGACGGAGAAAAAAAGGGGGCATAGTTTTCGATTCACGGGAAGTTCATGTGATTTATCCTTTTAACAATTAGATTATAAAGACTGCTAATTACATATTAATTACGCTAATTACATGATAAACATAACTGAACTATGGGCTCATTTAGTTGAACCAGGCCCAATATGTTGAGCCTACTCTAGCCCATATTAGGCCCAATATTTATTTCCATTGCGTTATAACAAATAATATAACGACTATCGTTCTTCAAATACCACAAACAAATTTAAAAAAGCTGATTTTTTTTTCATTTACAAATATATTAAAATCTAATATGCTGTAAGAAATGTTATAATCACAAGCGGATGAATGATGATGTCATTGATGAGGAAATTAGATGCCGGTGGCGACTGGCGAGTGGAAGGCCAGCTAACGGAGAGGAAGACGGAGAGGAAGTGACGTCATAAGTCGTCACGGTTCCGTCAATTCCGATGTGAGCCACGTGCTTAACGTCCGTTGGGAACCCAATCTCCATCTCCGGCTCCGCCTCGTCGCCGTAACCTGTGTCAAGGAAACATTTTGTATTTTATTTAATGTATTAAATACATTATCTAATTGAAAGCCTAATTAATTTTTTAGAAAATAAAGCTTTTAATGAAAGCTTAACAAGAATAGAAGTCGAATTGAATACAAATCAAACTAATGAAATTATACCCAAAATCAAATAAATGGAAACAATTCTTTTTCTAATATAATGTGTGTGTATATATATATACACACATTAAAAAAAAAACTTGATATATATACATATATATATATATATATAACCAAAATCATTAGTAGAAAAAGAGGAAAAAAACTTACGAGTGAAGAAGCTGTGAGAGAAACTCTTGAAGCTTCGAATAAATTCGAGGAACCCATATGAGTGATTATCATCATCACTGCTGCTGCTGTTATTACCACTAGTAGACGCCGTTTTCGCATCTTCCTCATGTCGTGAGCTCTCTCCTTCTCCTTCCTCCTCCACCGGCATTGCTTCTCTTCCTTGGGAAAACGCAGAAGGAAAAAGGAAGAAAACAGAAACCCTTTCCATGAGAATGTGAAAACTTTATGAACTTGAAAGAAGATAGCAAGAAGGAGCGAGAGATTTCAGAAAGAGGGTATTATATATATGAATACTCCTTGTGGGTGTATTGGTTTTCTTGTCTTGATGATGATTAATGGCGCGACGTGGGCGCTTGATCGAGTCGAACATCCCAACGAGAAGGGAAGAATCAGTAATCGCTCCATCCGATCAAGAAAGATATTTGTGCATGGAAGTTTGTGTGTGTATGAGAATGGAAATGGGAATGATGGTGAAGAAGATTTTACATTTGGGATGGTGTTTTGGCTTTGTTATGAAGCTAGAATCATTCCCTTCACACATATATATATATATATATATATATATAGATGTCATTATAGAGTGGTTTTGAGGGGGATTAGTTGGCTCAACAACAGTGCCACTTGACCTAGCTCTCGAAATTCAGGATTGAAGTTTCATAGAATCTTCTTCAGTCCACAATGTAACATCCTATGCTCTCGTTCGTTTCCATGCGAACAGACAGGACATTTGATTCGTGTCAGAACACAAGTTACTAACACTCAAGACTTGTTATTCTTTTAATTTCTTCTTTTTTTTTTTACACATTGGTCCCCAAGATTATCCCTAAACTCAAAGGTACGTTTTCTTTCCTCAAAATTCTGCACGCAAACCGAAAACTTTCAGGTTCAGCGACAAGGTGAGGAAATATAGAAAGGAAAAAGGGATAACACAAAAACCGAATAGAATACCGACTATCAATTAATTAATCAAGCAGAAAATATCAATTGATGTAAATATAAGGATGGGCATTTAGAATCATGCATGCAAAACCGAAATAAATATAACTAAGTATATATATGAAGCAACAGCAGAAGAAACATGAGTGAGAGTGCTTTCTCTTGTGAACGAATCCACAGATTCGCGGGCACTTTCTTGAAACGAACTCCAAAACTGTGAGAGAGAAGACAAACAATGGGCCTACGGGTCTTTCCACAATCCCATGTACACTTCCAAATGTGGGATTTTATGGTTCTTTTGTCTATATAGTGTGCCTTCCATATAAACCAATTTTGCATAATCCCCCACCAATATTTACTCTATAGTCTTTTCTTAGTTGATAAAATAAGGAATTTCTCCATATGTTTAATTATAGTCCTATATCTAAGAGTAGCAGATAAATATATTCGAACATAAACAGAAGCAACGTTAAGAATCTATGAAGGGCTTTACCGGAGAGTTGTACATTATGGAGGGGAGAAAGAGGGAATGACAGATCATTGTTCTACAAGAAGTATTTCATCCTTTCGTCTCTCCTCATCGCATTGTACACAGCTTGAACCTGGAAAATCAACAAAGACGTTTTTCTCTCAACGCCCGACTATTCGTGCCTACTTATAACATATCTAATTCCGGGATCCCTGTCTTATCCTAAGTGCATTCGGGGTTTTGCTTATCTAGCCTTTTTGCCAAAATGGCATGTCTGTTACAACTTAAGTGAGAGTGTAGCAGATGAAGGGAACATACCTGTTCGCTAGAAAGAATTCGAATAGGGCCAATATTCACCGATACATATTTCCCTTTCTTCGATAACGTCTGCCTCACACAATCCTTTGATGGGGACATATGAAACGGATTTTCCACATCAGTAAGATTTCCGTGCTTACTATGTTGGAACAAAGCTTGAATTACATGGGACATTGAACAAAGACATTTGTCTGTTTTGGGATGTGTTCAACATGAAAAGCAAACAGATCTTTAGCAAGACAAACTCATTCCCTAATGACTTCACTCAGCTCAAGTATCAAATGGTGAAGGAGTCAAATAGAATCATGCAACTTATCTAGCTGTGCAGGAGGAAAGTATTTTCTCTACACAGATTAAGCAGACATCTAACTATACGACTAAAGCAAGCAAGAGACCCAATGAGGCAGATCATCAATGGTATTTTCTGTTGTATACAGATACAAGTGTGCTAATTCCAGAAGACTAAATACTACATATACCAACTAGTAGATGTTTTCTTGCCAGCTCATAGACAATGATGGAAGCAAAAAGCTATGCAGATGATAGCACAAGGTTTAATTCACTAACAACATACGTTCTGATATTCATAATCATCTACTTTCGCTGGTTGATGTCACATACTATCAAATACATGATGCAGGAGCATTTTGTCAGATGCATTCCACAGGGAACCTAGGGAACAGTAAAGAAAACACAATACTAATGCATGCATAACTTGGCCATTGAGGCAATAACCACAAGATTGTTGTCATGTGTAGCAAAACTCAAAAGAAGAAGAAAAAAAAAGCTTGTATGATGTATTTGATTGACTAACTCGAACATTCGAAGAAACATACCTCGGGTATCGGTCTTTGAATAACGGATTCAACTGCAACAACCATAGCTTGCACAAAGTCATCGCCACCAGTCCCGATAGCAGTAAACCCTCTGTCTGTCGGGTATGTATTGACCTGGCAAGTAAAACGCCACTCCCGAATCAGCCACAATCCATCTCCTTCATATTAAAATCTACTGAACGCAATCCAACTCAACCAAGCTTTCAGCAAAACCAGAACTTATTTGAATGAAAGACACGAGTAACTAGACTCGAAGCTAGTTAAGATAGGACCGGATAACATCATGAGAGAGATACCTTTTGGTCTAGTTCTAGCCATTCTTTAGTCGAGTCATCAGCCACAGTGCCTCCCATAATCACATGGGTAGCTTTCCCAACTCTTCCATCAGTCCTTGACACTTCTGCATCCAATTTCCACACAATAAATACAAGCAAACCACGAAAAAGGATAAAATCGATATTTTATATAGTGATTGTAACCAAACCAAGCTCCATTTCTTTCTTACAACACAACCTTGTCTGTTTCCCTAACCAATTAAAGATTCTGAATAAACTACATCCAATCAAAGTGACAAAAATTTATGATTAGCTAAAGGAACAAAAGAAACCGGCGAAAACACTAGAAATTTGAGCAATCCACCAGTGAGTCCAGCAACTAAGCCCCCTGTATACGATATCAGACCCTTTCAAATCTCTGCCCTAACACTCCAATGTCGGTGCACAGCAATAACTTAGGGATTCGAGTCCTCTCCATCACAAACCCATACATATATTATCCGCTTTTCGAATTCATTTCCAAATCACGAACGACACACTAACGAGGCGCGTACCTGAAATCGCCTTAAGAACAGCTTCTTGAGGCGGACCTTGATCGGCTTCATCGTTATGGCTGCAATTAAGCCGAGCCCCTCTGCTGGAGTGGAGATTCCGACCGGATGCCGACGGAAAACCGCCGAAACCAGGATTCTTCGGTGCAGGGAAACAACCATTGATGGGAATCGATGCCGGAGAAAGAGGAAGACAGAAGCATCTCCCGGCGCCGGAGATTCTCCGTGGTTCCGTCAGGAAGACGGAACGCAATACCGTTTTGCAGGCCATTTCTCAAGATCCCCGTTTGAGGCGAGTTTTGGGCCATAACGCCGCGTTTTGGCTATATATAAATTCTCTCTCACGGCGGTGACGCTGGAGAATGTATAAAGACAATAATACCCTTACTTTTTTGGGAAGGGCGCTATGTGGTTGAGGCCTTTCCAGTCTTTTCATTATCAGTGAAATCGGATTTTGATTAGGTGAACACCTGCTCACGGTGCTCCTTAATGCATCGTATCTATCCCCTAGGAGAGCATTTCGGTATTCGTTTTCGGGGTCGGTTCATAGAATTCCCTTGGTTCAATTTTTCCGGTTTTATAAAAAATATATATTAATTGATTATTATATCATATTCGGTTTCTTATTATACCATGGATCGTCCGACGAGCTTGGTAACACTTGTTTGTTGTCATTTTTTTTTTAATTTTACTCTCGATAGCCAAAGTGAATTTTAATATCTTACGGTCCAGTTGATTATTATCATTTTGTCCATCATTAACATTCACATATCCGTATGACCCATATTACGCTTGCAGATTACTTTTTTTTTTTAATTTAGATCAAGTCTCGATGAAGATATTATCGATTCGATTACCCCTAAATTGCATTCGACCATATAATATATTGAAATCCAATAATAATAACCGTATTTGTACAACATGGCATCAACAAACAACAATTCTACGCAGACCCTTTCTTGTCGTCTCTCACTTGGGTGTGAAAGCCTGCAAAAATACCAACGCAAAACCATTCAATATCGACTCCCGAATATTATTATTAAAAATATAGGAAATTTACATAATTCAATGTCGAAACCAATATAGAATATTACGGAGAATTCATTATCATATTATATATATATATATATATATACCTTTTAAACTCTCCATGCTTCCAAACAAAATAACTTTTTAAAGTATCATGTTTCTAGCAAATTAAAAGAAGAGAGTATTAGGGTTTTTACCGAGAAAATGGTGGCGTGGCCCGGGTCGGCGAGGTGGGCAAAGAGGTTATCGATCGGGCCAGTTCCCGTGTAGATGTGTTGGAACCACGCCCCCATCACGGCCAACATAGCCAACCTCCCGTTCTTGATCTCTTTGGTCCGAAGTTCCTTGATCTTGGCCGGGTCACCCGACCCCCAACCCAAGGGGTCGAACCATAGCCCGCCCGGGTACCCGACGTCCGTACCAGTCAGCTTGTTGTTAGGGAAAATCGGGTCGGTGTTGACGCAGCCGGGTTTGATGATGTCTGCCCATCTACGTCCTTCCGCCCATCCGATGAAGATGAGCTCGACGATGAAGAGCGTGGTCGTGTCCGTGAAGTACTCTTGCTCTCCGGCGGTGTACCATGACGGAGTGTTCAAGATCCCGATCTTGGTTAGGAACTCCGGTATGAATATTCCGGCGGCTCCTAGCATCGCCCACCGGCAGTGGACCAGCTCCGCTTGCTGGTTCCATCTTAGGCTCTCCGGGTCGGATCCTGAAACGGGTCGAGAAAATGTTTATGTTTCAGTACGCATGGTATTTATGGTCCTTAACCCATTAGATGGATCGAAGTGTTTTCTTTAGAACGGAGTTAAAGTGACTCACCGAGGCCGAGGGGATCGAATCCGAAGTCGCCGGGGAGGCTGTGATGAATTTTACGTTGCATTAGAGCAGAAAACGACGTTAGATGCAATAATTAAATTTCGAAATCTAGAATCGAAATTCTACCAATTAGGAGTTATAAATATATATATTAAATAACTATTGTTCTTATTATCAACAATATGAACAAAAAAAAAACCCCTAGAATTCGATATGTTATCATAGTCTAGTTGTTTAATTTCTCCATATTTGAATTTTTATTTGTTTTCATTAATATGATGGCTGAATATGATTACGATGATGAACACGATGATGGAGATTGTGATAAAGTGACTATAGTAATATCGTTTCAAATTCAATTCTAAAAGGGTTTTTAGTTTTAAAAATAAAAAATTAAGAAGATGCAATTTTTAGAAAAACGCATCTAGTTAAATCCCTTAATTTTATAAGGATTTCGAAGAATGCACATAATTTTATAGTTATAAACAAAAAATGGTGTCAAATGCCGTATAGTTTTCGAGAGTTTGCAAATTTAACAATTTAACAAGAGAAAAATATTGTATTTTAAAGATAATTTTTAAACCACATTATATAAAAAATACCTTTAGTTTGCTATTCCTATTTCAACACATTATACCCTTCTCCAATTGTGACCATGTGTCCCAAAATATAGTGTGGTCACATTTTGATTTTATTGATTATAATGTTAAATTTATAGTGATCTCACTAATTCGCTATGTTCATATATTGTATATCTTAAATATCCTTACCGATTATTTGATTAAAATATCATAAATTTAACATTATGGATAATGAGGTCAGTATGTGACCACACTATATTTTGGGTCATATGAGTCACAACTGGAAAAGGGAATGCGTTGAAGTAGGAATAGCAAAGTAAGGATATTTTTGATAATGTCTATTTTAAAACTCATATAATAATACGAGTGTTGATAACAAATAAGTGTATTTATATGGACATTCCCGATTATGTTTATGCATTTGTTTCTTATAATTATTACTTTTTGAATCACTAGTGTTAATGATATTATCATGGTGGGAAGAGAAGGAGGAGATGGTGGACCTGCCGTCGAGCCAAGGGGGAGGGGTGCTGCCGGGGAACCAGAGGGGTCTGTCTGGGTCCACCGCGGCTGCAACCGTCGCGGACCGACCCGCCGCCACCTCAGCTGCTGCGTTCTTCTTCACTCTCAGTTTCTTCCCTCCCAAGAAACCGGCTCTCGTTGTTCCCACGATGGATCCACTCTTCTGCGAACTGCTGCCCACACCACATACATACATACATACATACATCACATAAAGCGACATATATGCACACATGTATACATGCATATACATACACACATACACAATACCATATCCGACAAGGGCTTCAAATGGATCAACCTCAACTCACGAGCATGATTCATAAAACATCATCGATCGACCACTGGCTCGAGCAGTCGCCGGATCATCACGTACATATATACATACACACACACACATATATAATGGCCCACTGAATCAAAGTGAATGGGAAAGAGATGTAACTTGCCTTGGAGAAGAGACGGCGGTAATGGCGGAAGAAGCACAGAGGGAAGCCATTGTTTGACTCTTTTTTTTTTTTTTTAATTTCTCCGGCCACAAAAAAAAAATGAAGAAGAAAATGCGGTATGAGTGTTAAAATGTATAATGGAAAAAAACGGATAACGCAGACCACGGGCTTATCTCTATGGATAGGGGAGGCAATCTCTCTGTTGGCTCTTTGCTCGCCACGTGGATTTCAGAATCTCATGCTCTCCACATTCTCTGATTTTCCCGCAAATATTATGGACCTCTCGAGCACCAATATCAGCTCGCCACGTCAGATCGTACATATTTCATTTTTTTCAGATTGGTATCCAAATCCAAATCAACAAAACCGAATTTAATTGTATCTATTTCTCTAGTTTATTAAAATTTTAAACAAATATAAAAAAAAAACAAGAAATGGCTTTTGCGCCAAATGGGTTTAAACTTAAAATCTTTGGAAGAAACTAGGAGATTTTAATAGGAGCTAGAGGGTTTTACTAAAGGAGATAAATAGACATAAACTGTGTGGCGTTTTCTACTACTAAAAACGTCGTGTGTTTCTCCTTCGGAAAATAATACACGAGCCGGAGTTTTGGGCCTTTATCGGGCTCAGCCTTTTTATAGGCTCAAGTTTACGATTTATTTTTCTCCGGCAATTTTTCTCTTCGATCACTCTCCGGTCACTTCTCGCCTCTCCGAATCAGATCTTCGAGCCGGTGAGTTTCACGCTCTCAATTCCTTTTCCTCTTGGTCTTGGTCTCGGAGTTGTTCATTTGTATGATTCTCGTACTTTCTAGGATCTATTAATGTTTTCTCTTGATGCGATTCCGTCGTAATCCATCGAACGTGTAACTCTTTGGTCGCGGGGCTTCAGCTAGGTTGTCCCGGTTTGAAAGATTTCTTGGTGTTTGTGAAATCTGCGAAATAATCAAACATCTGTTTGAGAAATTGTGACGAATTCGTGAATTTGTGTGTTTATTAGCGTGGAGGCCGACGAAGCTTTGTCTTCTTCCCTCGAATTGGGAAAAAAATGAAATATTCGAGTTGTAAAGTGTTAGATTCTAGCTGGGGATTTCATATTCATAACAATGTGTTTGTGGTTTATCCAGTGTAGGAACTTGGGAGAGACAAGATGGGTTTCATAATGGAATTTGCGGAGAATCTTGTTCTGAGAATGATGGAGGATCCGAAGGAAAGGGACAGGAAAGCCAGGGAACACATTTATCAGATGCATGATCGATGCAAGAAGATCAAGGAGATGTGGGAATTACCCATTCGTCCTTACGGGTTCTGGACCTTTGAGCGCCACAATGCTCAGCTCCGATGGGATCCTCAGATCAGCCAGGCGCCTGGTCGAAGGGATCCTTATGACGATCTCCTTCAGGAGAATTACACTCCTGCTTCCTCCTCAGCCTCCAAGTCAAAATGGTGAGTTTTGGTTCTTGGATTCAGTTCTCGGCTTGTTTGTCCCACGCTTTTAGGTGTTTGATCTAGACTGAGCATCACCAGGTTCTGCTTCGGTTGAGTGGATTGAATGCCTTTTTCTTTTGTAGGTAACTTCAATCTGATAGATAGGATATCTGTGTCAATTAGCTGCATTAGTATGCATTTCTGCACGTGTTGTTTGCCACGATTGAGATATGTTGTTGCACTTATTTAGCTGGACCGAATGGTTATATCAATGCTTGTCCTTGGAAATGGAAGTTCATACAGCAGGACCCGGGGAAGCTAGTCTCCTGGCTTAAGATGATTTGGACCTTCACATATTTTCTTCTGACTTTGCTTTCGGGTTTTGAATTGCTGCTGCAATGCAATTCGGTGGTTCTGATGAATCATATCGAAAGGCAGGCATATGATCTTTCGCTCGGTTGTTTTGTCAATGCAGATAGAAAAAAAAAAAGACGAAGCAGTAGACCGTCCGTCTGGTAAGTTTCGTTGGTTTGGTTCTTGAGAAGAAGCAGCAGCTTCGGTGCAACCCAAAATAAAGACTTTGCTTTGTTTATGGATGAACAAATATCTTTTTATTTCTTTGGTAAAGTTTGTTTCGGTTTTCAACTCATATCTGTGCATCAATAAACACCTTACGAGGTTTGTGGCCGAAAGAAGGGTAAGATCCTGAATTTGCTACGTTGACCAAAGTCAACTATTCATACATTTTAAAATGAGATCTCTCTTCTTTTCGGGATCAAATCTCGATACTCTAAATTTTGGGGTAAGCTGAAGAATATCCCAAATATTCAGATACACACTGATTTACCCGATCGGATTTGCTTGATAGCATGAACAACTCTTACCAGAAGATACAACGAGAAGAGAATACAAAATTTAATATGAAGAAACAAATATCCTAATGAATACAATTGACCAATGTTGGCACTGAATCAATTCGAAGGTAACCCAATTCCACAAATAAATAAAAAAACTTGCAAGCAAATTATGCTCCCAATTCCATCAAGAACCACTTTTACTATGAGGAATGTATAAGATATTACCTTAGGGGTTGCCCAAGGCAGCTTACTATCTAGGAGGAGGAGGTGGAGGGCCAAGAGACTTTGCCATTCCAACCCATGCGACTATCCCGAATGCAAGGATTATCCAACCACATACATCGTAGGTGAATTCACTGCTCTTCTTTTTCTTCTTGGCAGTCTGGATAAGGTCAGAAGAAACGAACTTGCATTTTCAGAGACTTCGAAAATTATGAAACTGGTTCCAAACATGGTGAGGATGATCTACGAAAAGCATGCTTTGTAACTCCTGCTACCTCCAGTAAAACTTGCTCAGCGCAGAAAGTATGAAACTTTCCACCAATTCACCGGTTTAAACCCATAAGAACAAATGCACAACACCACTAAGAAAGAAGCAATCTACGTTTCAAAAGACCCAATTCCACGATTGCTAAACGAGAAATCCAAAAAGAGTAGGTATCTGTCTTACACCAGCATTTGGAGAAGCTGAAGGACCTCCACCCAGTGTTTGTTGCCCCAGTCCATGCTTATGGATCTCCATATGCAGTTCCGGTGCCTATGGCATGAGCATGAACACGTTCAGACCCCCCAAAAGAAAATTCGACAGTCAAATCTAAAAGGAGAGTCATATGCAATTGCTTGAATACAACTCCCTAGTTCGGTACAAGGCAGTTGAATATAAAAACAAAATATAGAAACGATACCTTTGCTGCCACTTCCAACGACTTACGATAAAGTTCATTACTTGGGTCCTAAATTGACAAATTGAAAAAATATTCAGTCTCAGCTAAATATTATTCCGGATACTATTTGAATTAATATCACGTTCTAAGATATACAAAGATTGTGAAGAAGGTACCTCATTTTCTGCCCTTTTAAAATATTCGGTAGCTTTATCAAAATACACTTTGGCTTCATCAGCATCTGAAATGAGGAATGCCTGGGAGGTGTTGGCGTTTCCCAAGCACCATAGAGCCTCATGCTTCATCGGATTTATCGTCAATGCCTCTTCCAACTTAGAAATTGCATCTACATCGCTTATATTGTGTTACAAATGGAACAGAAATGGCGGACAAATAGGATGAAAGCAAAAGGAAACAAACCAAGTATTTGAACCTTAGCTGAACAGAGAAGAACAGATACCATTTAACATCTGCTTTGCATCGGGAACACTCTGGAACTGAGATAGTTCAAGCAATGCACCACCCCATTTGATCAGATTCTGCAAAATTGGAATACCCAAAGAGGCATTAGTTCATAGATAGAAGCATGGATCACTTGATCAAGCAGTCAATCATATTGGTGATTTTACCATGACATTAATTCGCTGCGATTATCAAATAATTACGAAATGAAGCAACATATGATCATGTCAGTTTGATTTTCAGTATTCATCCACCGGTTTCGAGGATGACAACCCAAAAAAAAACTGAACCGCACTCTCGAGGTACTGATATAAGCGAAGAGGGATTACAAGACCAACGAAGATGATGATGTCAAGCAAAACAAAAACTCTCAGCTGATTCTACGAATCCGAAAATCCAACTCTATAGAAATCCAGAAACACAGCGATTATAAAGAACAAATCCCGGAATTCCTGATGGGATAAGAGAGGAGACGATTACAACCTCGGCATCGAGTGGATCCACAGCGTACTGAGCCTCGGCAGCTTTCCGAGCATGCTCGAACATCAGGAGCCGATCAAAGTCCGCCGCCGAGAAGTCCATCGTCGAGATGCAGAAAATGGAAGACTAAGCCGGAGGTTTTCTCGATATCTACTCGCACGAGGGTACCTATTCGTTATCCAATTGGGCCTAATAGGCCCATTTACCCAAAACCATTATGGGCTTATGTTATGATCACACACCGCTCGAGTCACCAATCGCGCGTTTGCATTATTCGCGTTGGCGTTTAACAATTTAAAATACGATTTGGCGTTTGGATAATAATCGTTTTATCACTGACACTTTCGTTTTTTTTATATAAATACGATTGGATCTGATCGTTAGGTTAATAATTACGCATGTGGAGGCACTGAATTCTAAAAATAAGTTATATACATATATATATATATATATATATATATATATATGTGTGTGTGTGTGTATAACCACATTCAGATAATTTCAAAATCAAAACTTTTTTTTTTGGATAATAAAATATTTACCGCAAATAATGTCTATGACAAGTACTGAAAACTCAGATGTGGAAAAGAATGAACGTGTAAGAGAATAAGGGTATTATCTTAATGTAAATAATTTAACCTAGGCTCTATATATGCTTTTTCTAAGGTAGAGATATAATTAAGATAATACCCTTATAGTTTTATGCTAACCTTTTTTGAAGTTACTTCTTCCCTACCACCAATCCGGGACCTTCAATCTTCGGTTCCTATGTACGGCGAGCTTGACGCTCGGGATCCTGTGTTTAACCTGTCTCCACAACATGTTAACCGCATCTTCCTCCCGGGGCGGGTATTGGAACTCGAAGTGCCGGGAAACGTTCTTGAGCCGGTCCCACATTTCGAGCCATCTCTCCTTTGGTACCTGGCGGAGGTTATCGACGATGTAGCCGGGTTCGAGAGCCTCGTCCACCGAGAAAAAGATCGAGAACTCTGAGTAGTCAAGCTCGTCTTCAAAGGGCAGTTCTATTTTGTTGCTTATGATGACAGGGACGCAGTGGCTGACAATGGCGTCGAATAGGCGGCATGAGGATGGAGTGTCTCCTGCTGGGTGCAAACAGAATTTCGATGATCTCATCCCTTCTGTAGACTGCAATGTAAATAATAATAATAATCGAGGATTAGGGCTATTGATTGTGTTGTAGTTCTTGATTCTCTGATTTGGTGGCTGACACCGAGAATGTCGGTATCATGCATTTCTGTACCCTATGAAATCTGGCCCATGAAAACTTGTATGTAGCTCGATATGGAACGGTTGGTCCATTTCGACATTTCATTGGACTCGGAAAGCATTGGATTTCCGGTACTTGTTATGAAAGGAATAGCTTACATAGAAGAGCTTACCAGTTTAATGTTTTGTGTTGTTGCTGAACCTTTTTCAAAATGAACATCAGGGACACCGGCTAATAACTTCTCCAATCGGAGACGAATCTTGCCTTCCTGCAAGACAAAAAAAAATCCGAATGAGAAAAGTAAATAAAGGTTCGTGCCTTCTCGGTATCTGAATATCTACATATTTAGTGATTTATTAGCGTACATCTTTCCGGACAGTATTCCCACGGAAGTAAAGAAGTGTGGTCCGGGCCTCAAAGGGATCAAGAGGATCATCATCGGTGAAGGATTCGACGACATGAACATAGGGGGAAACCACGTCTTTGGTGAGGTTTGCCATGTTCTTAGGGTAACGCCCGAAATCCACAACAATGAGGATTGAAGCATTCACTTGCTGCCGGAGAAATCTGAAAGCGTTAGGATGCGTCATCGGAATTACATGGTCCCTGCCTCCGGATCGTTGCCAGTATTTGGAGTTCCAAAGGTAGTCCATCAGCTCAACCTGACACCAAAAATAAAAGTCCTTAAGTGCTTGAATCTATGAGCTCCACTACAGAACATACAAATCAAAGATACAGTTTGGTCCTTCTTCCTAGCTTAAAGTCCAATCATTCGTAAGTTCTGGACAGATAGTTTGTTTCCAATTCCTAACTCGATGAACTGGTATGCCTTAAAGCTCGAGGCTTTAGTTTTCGCTTTGGCCTGATAATTCTGCAACCATCCAGTAACCAGTCAATGAGATACTATGGAACAAAACATCAACAGCCAAATCGAACCCAAACTGGTAAGATTTGCAAAGAAAACATCTCACAAAAATCAAACAATCAAGAACCAGTAAAAGGTTCATTCCAATTCTTCAACTCTCTAGACGCTACTTTCAGCCATCTGACGAAATGTCAGATCACAATAGTCTCTACATTCAAAACGAATCTCAAAGAACTCCTGAGGAGATTGACTATACAGTAATGGCAATTCCTATACCGAGTTCTAAAAATTGCCTACACTCATTTGATGAATCTCGGCCCAACATGCCGCAATGGTTCAAGAATACAACACTAGAGGTCAACGAAACTGCTCTAAACGAATCCAATTATCGAAAAACCTTCATTCAGAATCAAATTACCTGCAATTGGCGATCGAATTCCGTATCGGGATCCGTCATGTTCTTCCCGTGCGTATTGAAGCTCAACGAGGAGAAGAAGGGCACGAAGAACGCGTCCGCCAAATCAGGATCAAAAACCCTAACCGCCTCCCTCCCGCTGCCGCCTCCGCCGTCGTAGAGGAGCGAGGCCATGAGCCAATACTCGACGCTGTGCTGCCGCTTGATCCCGGAGGTCTCCGGCCACCGTGGGAGGTTACCAGCGGAGAGAGGCTCGACGTCGGAGCTCCGAGGATCCAACATCGCGACGTTGAACTTCCGGGGGAGATCGTACATGTAGACGCGGAGAGGTCGGTCGGAGAGGCTGCAGAGAGAGGAAATCGCCGGCGGGGATTGGAGGAGAGAAAAGTATGGCAGTGGATCGACGGTTCCCATGTAGATTAAGTAGGAGGCTACGAGGAAGATGATGAAGACGACGCTGCATATGGTTTTGCCATACATTTCTTCTTCTTCTTCTTCTTCTTCAGCTATGGAGAGAGAGAGATGTGAGATTGGATCAAACGGTCACACTTCCGTTTTTTTGTGTGTGTGTACTTTGCTTGATGATAACGGGTCCTCCGAATGCGTTGTCTTGAAATAGAGTAGTTATATAATATATGGTATAAATACAATAATTTAAAATCTAAAAAAAATTAAAACCAACTCAAATCTGAAGAGGATATAAAAATAACCGCAAAAATAGAACAAAATATTAATTTAAATAAATATTTTTATCAGATAAAAATTAAACTAAACGAAAACCCAACCTAAGCCAATTCCTTAAATTCAAACACCAAAAATAATTAGACTAAATCGTAATGGAAATATGAAACATCCATTCTTGAATCGCTATATTGGATTTGATAGATAAGTCGTACGGATACGGCCCATTATAATTTGGATATTTAAAACGTAAAGCCCATTTTCAAGCTGCCCTAAAAAATTGAATAAGAGAGCCTAGGGTTTTCCCCCATCTATTTCTCCTCTGACCATCTCCCCATTCTTCTGCCGCAGCGAGCAGGAGATCGGCCGCCATGGTAATTCCTTCTTTCCCAGTTTTTTTCTTCTCCATTCTCACTTTCAGCTTCTACTTTCTACTTGTTTCAGTTCTTCTTTGTTGGATGTTTTTTCTCGAATAGCGTTGTCCTTATGTTCTATGTGCGTGGTATTTTTCCCCTGCAGGTGAAATACTCGAGAGAGCCCGACAATTCCACCAAGTGTAATGTCTCTTCGTGTTTTTCAATCACTTCTTTATATTTTTGTTATCCGTTTGAGTTTCGTTGGTTTTGTTTTAGAAGTTTTGCTTGTTTGCTGATTTGTCTGTTTTTCCCCTTTTTTGTGTATTGTTGCAGCTTGCAAGGCGAGGGGATCTGATCTCAGGGTTCACTTCAAGGTATTTCTCGTTACATGATTCTGTCTTGTATCTTGTTCACTGCCATCCGATTTTGATGATTCGGAGCTACCATAGGAACAGGACATGTATTTGGATGCATGCTTATGAAACCTGACACGAAAAAAAAACAGGGTTCTGTTGCACATTTTGATAAACAGTTCTCTCGTAAATGTCAGGGAAATCGAATGGGTCATCGTGATTGGGTGAACCTCATGTCTTTTTTATATGTAGCTGAAGGTTCAGTACATGATGGTACATTACTAGAAATGAATTGATCGCTGCATGTGTTGTATGTACCGGGTTACCTCTAGTTTATATTGAAGCTTTCTAGGCCAGTATATGGGTTTTTATAGGGGAGTTCGGGGTTTCCATTGCAAGTGTTGTTTTGAAAACTGGTGACAAAAAAACAGGGCTTTGTTGCCACTTCGTGAATATGTCTCTCGTAAACTCCGGGGAAATCGTGGGCATTGTTATTGCGTGAACCTCTGTAAAATTGTGTGCTGAAGGTTCATTCTTGAATTGTTCATCACTCTTCGTTGGCATTGCTCGAGCCTTTTTTACTAATTTTCACATTTCGTGATTGAAATCCCCATTGTGTTTTTATCAATTGTATCGACAGAACACTAGGGAAACAGCACATGCCATTAGGAAGCTCCCCTTGACAAAGGCCAAGAGGTACCTAGAAGATGTGATAGCTCACAAACAAGCCATTCCCTTCACTCGTCAGTAAAAGGAT